GAATTCGACAAGAAGTAAACGCTGAAAAAAAAACTGTTTCATAGATGACGACACCGATACTTAAACTCTAACTAAAAATTTATATTGCGGTAGATTCGAATGAACTTTGGGCCAGCGAATACAAAACGAAAACAAGGATTAACAGAAATAAATAAAAGTAATTAACTCTCCTCCATATGAGGTATTGGCTATTTCAATATATAGAAACAGAAAAATAATGATAATAAACTAGTCGGTTCCCATAAGGACTGTCCATTAGGCAAATGGAAAAAGTTGATATTCATTTGTAATTTCATCAACAGACATTGACTAAAAAAAAAAAAAAACTCCATGAACTTTATGAAAGAATCAGAGAACCTCACGAACTCATCAGTGTGTTAGTAACTACCATTCAGTATTCCATAAAATTGAACATCTACTAAATCTAGTGAGACTGATGCCAATGGAAGAAGGCAAAGTGATTAAACACCACCAATGGGTAATGGACTGGGTGCATCTTCGACTTTTTCATCTGGAACTTCGCCGAACCATGATTGCCCTTCGTCTACCAATGTATTGCCCCTGCATCTGGTTGGGAGGTTGAAAAGATCTTCGTCATCTACTCTCAATTCCATTGGATTAATACCTATGTTGGGATATGGATCAAACCCAACCCACTTGTTTTCCAAGTAGAGCATAGGCGGTACAAGCGAGTTACACTCTATTTCTTGAGAATGTTTCTGAAGATCAAGAAAAAAACTCCAATCACGTGGAACGAGCTGCTGAAGCCGCCTTGATCGGATGCAAGGATACCCTCGCCAAGGCGACGATCCTTGCGCACCCGAAGCTCGGCGAAAAGCTTTTCCTGGTCTGTGACGCGTCAGATCACACTGTGGGAGCCGCCCTACAACAGCTAGTGGAAGACGAATGGAAACCTCTTGGATTCTTCTTCAAGAAGCTGAGCAGCGCTGAAATGAAGTACAGCGCTTACGATCGGGAGCTTCTAGCCATCTACAAAGTTATAAAGTACTTTCGACACATGGTAGAAGGACGCCATTTCACTGTCTTGACCGACCATGAGCCACTCACCTTCGCTTTTCGCCAGAAGTCTGATCAGTGCTCTCCACGACAATTCCGCCATCTGGATTTCATCGGGCAATTTTCCACCAATATCCAGCATATCTCCGGTAAGGATAATGTTGTAGCTGATGCCCTCTCCCGGGTTGACGCCGTCGCTGCGCCACTCGATTTCGAGGCACTTGCAGTGTCTCAACAACAAGACCAAGAGCTGCAGGAACTTCGCCAGAAGAACGATTCTTGCCTGATTCTGCACCAAGTGACTATTCCAGGGTCCGACGTTGCCATTTTTTGTGACGTTTCAACACCGACGGTGCGGCCCTTCCTGACAGTCGCCTTCCGCAAACCAGCATTCGAAGCTATCCACGGCCTGTCGCACCCTGGTGTTGAGACAACAATGAAGCTGGTGAAGCAGCGCTACGTCTGGCCGTCCATAAAAGCTGATTGCCGTTTCTGGGCACGTTCCTGCATCCGCTGCCAGCCGGCCAAAGTCACACGCCATGCCTCGACTCCGATTGGCAATTCTACAGCACCACCAAGACGATTCGAGCATGTTCACATCGACCTGATCATCATGCCGTACTCCGAGGGATACAGGTATTGCCTGACATGCGTCGATCGCTTCTCGCGGTGGCCAGAAGCAATACCTCTCCAAAACCAAAAAGCAGAGACCGTAGCAAGAGCGTTCTACACAATCTGGGTCGCGCGCTACGGCGTTCCTCTCCGACTGACCACGGACCAAGGTAGACAATTTGAGTCGCATCTGTTTCGCTGCCTGAACCAGCTGATGGGAACTGACCATCTGAGGACCACGGCCTACCACTTTGCAGCTAACGGTATGGTTGAGTGTCTACATCGTCAGTTGAAAGCTTCTGTCAAGTACCTGCAATCTGATCGTTGGACTCACACGCTCCCTACTGCTCTGCTGGGGATCCGGGCGGCCTGGAAGGAAGACCTGCAAGTCACCGCCGCCGGCAACGGCGAACCAATTCTTCTTCCTGGCGAATTTCTGGCCACTGCCTCCACCAGAGATATAGCTGATTCCGCTGACTTTGTTCGTGAGCTGCGTCAACATTTCCAGGAACTCCGGCCAGTCAGTGGCACCAGGCATGGCGAACGAAAAATCTTTGTCTTCAAAGACCTTGCTACCGCCACCCACGTCTTTGTCAGGCACGACGCACCAAAAGGACCGCTCCAGTTACCATACGATGGTCCCTACAAGGTTGTAGTCGATAGTCTCAAACCGGCCTATATCGTCGCAGAGGATATTGCTGCACCAGGAGGTACCATGGACGACAACGACGATGACTTTGTTTTTGCTGCTCCAGGAGACAACCAAACTCCGTTGCAACAGGATGCAGTTCCACCACCAGCTATAGCAACACTACCTGCCTAGAGAACGCGCTCTGGCCGTCAATTGAATTATGTTGCAATTGCTTGTTTCATTTTGAGAATTTCACTAAGTAATCACAGGGTGATCCGCAAATATGTTTTGTAGTTCTTTCTCTTCATTTCATGTATTTAGTTTTAGTTTTGTATCGTTCACCACTGGCAAGGGGGTACTGTAGGGAATTTCCTATAGTAGCAATTATTGTATCATACTGTATTCTGTGTGTTAGATTAATTACTATTGTGATGGAGACGAGGAATGTTGATAAAAAAACACTTCGAACCGAGTGATCAACGGGAGTAGGTCTCGGTTTTCTTTCACGGAGTCGGAACACATGAGTAGTGAATTTATTTATGTAAATATTTGTTAATTAGTGCATTTGAGCGATAACAAATAAGCTCAATCGTCATCCGGTCCTACACTTGGAATTACCCGTTAAAGTCTATAATCGCTCTTATTTTATGTCACCTATCACCAGAATTTTACAGGAACACGGTCAACAAACCGAATGCAATTCAATTATTCCACCTTTATTTTATCTAGAGTCAAAATGAGTAGGATTAGATTAGATTCATAGCATTTCTGTTGAAAACTTTTTCAAATGCGGTAGCTATACACCGTATGAAGGGATACACGAACAATTTTTGTTATTTGATAATAATGACCTCTGCGTGGAAGTTCAATGTTTGACACTGCAAAAGGCCTGGTTTGTGAATGTGCATTTCATTATCTAACCAAAGTTATCACCAAGACGAAAACTTGTGCTCTATCAGAAAAATGGATCAATTACTAAGATGGGTTCGGGTTACTCCCAATTCCCGGGTGAAGAGAAACCTATTACTCGATATCATCAATCACTTGGTAATAGTTAGTCAAATTTTGGCTTGCCAGCCACTGAATCCCCTATATCCAGAGCCCAGGAACGACCCCGGTGTAACACCAGGAACGAACCCGGTGTTACAATTTACTGTATATACTACTGTTTCATGGGGAGTTACGGAGAGCTCTACTAGGGGCAGGCAGACATGCTTGCTCCTGCAACTGGTGCAACTCCCAACAGCGACCACCACCACCACTCCCGAGAGGACTACCATGTAGGTGTTATTGGTGCCTGCCTAACGTGCCACCGACACCCCCTCCGACCTACGAGAGTGTGGAAACCCTGGACTCCTTTTTATCGAATAATCCGCACAACTCCTGGCACGGTAGCAGATGCGACCCTGCTGACCCAACTGTGGACCCTCGAGAACCGACGCCTGGAATTAATAGAGGCGCCTTCCGGCATGCACGATGAAATCAGAAGTCGCCAACTCAACCACCCACAACGAAACCGAGAGCCGAACCTTTCTCTACACCACCGCTTTCAAGCCGTGTTAGCACCGACGATGAAACCGCCTCTACTGATGCGTCTGGGATCCGTAGGGTGGTGAGACTGCCTAGCGGTGGAAGGATAGCCGTCAGAAGGGAAAATGGGAAGGTAGTGATAACACGTACGGGCCGAGGGACGAAGGAAGGAAAGGACTGACCCTGAAGAGGTTATCTTATGTAGTAAAACTCGTATATTGCTTGTAGATACATAAATTTAGATTGCATATATTTTATATATTTGAATAAAAGCTGATTTTATCAAACCTTATTATATACATAAACAGAAATCAAACTGATGATAGTTTGATTTCAAACAGGGATGAAAGGGATGTACTGATTTGAGAAACTAAAGGTAAAAATTCATCACGAAATGTAGATTCAAAAATAAGCGTAAGAAAGAGAATAACAAACAGTCCACTACAGTAATAAATCATTATCTGGTCTGCTGAACGGCTTATTTGATGGTCCAAAACACCAATCAATTATGGCTATTAATTATATTTGTGAATTCACGACACTCATCAAAGGATCACGCAAGGTTGTTTGACTGCGAGAAGCCGCTATAGGATGATATAGGACCATAAGCAAATAAATAGCAGAGCTCGCGAAAAATTATGATAGATAGTAATCAAACATCGATCGAAGTAACATCGCTCAACGAAGCAATGTAGTTAGATTCTGCTTAACGTAAAAGAGTGAAAGTGCTAAAAACTAAAGCAGTAGCCTAGTATATTATACTGAGAAGTCACCTGAGTATCACTGTTAGTGTACCTGTGATATTTGCTCAAAAAACTGAGGATTTTGACGCCAAGTGTGATTGCTGATTGCATTCGTTATAACAATGTCGGCTAATTGTAAATGAGAAAGGAATCTAGTCAGCTCTGGCCCTCTACATGTCAGTCCAATCGAGCGTTTCAGTGTATGATTCTTTGAGGGCGCCACAAGCCCGCATCAACAGAGACCTCTTTTGTTTCATGACGTTTTACAATGGGCAGGTTTTTAAACTCAACTAGAAATAAATCGGTTTATTTAATCGATGTTGTCATGTGACGTCACAGATGTCTCCGCTGGATGCGAATATGAAACAAACTTAAGAACTCTTTGATGTGTGCTCTTTTGACAATCTAACCGGAAATTTCCGTTCGTACACTGAGCTGCACCGGCACAATTTCCACAATCCTAAAAAATGGACCAAGAAATGAGAGTGATAACCCTTGTTCATGAAGACACTTGCTTCGAAGTAAGATTAGACAACGAAACGTATGAGGAAATATTGAATGGTAATTATTCATTTTATACATCTTTATAATATCTTGATTGGAAGTAAAATTGAACTAATTTTTTTTTTTCATCTAGATGAAGATAAGCTGCGAAGATACGCAAAGGAAGTATATGAACTGAATTTCGAGAAAGAAAACCCCAACAGAACAGAAGAGGATGAGACTACATTCAAGCAAAAGAGTTTCAAATGGAGCCATAAATCAACACTCGCACTAATTGAATTCCGTTTACAAAGAGAGAATGAATTCAATAGACCAATATGTAAAAAGAAGAAAATTTGGGATAACATTGCCTGGGAAATGGAAAAACTTGGGTACAAAGTAACAGGCGATATGTGTGACACAAAATACAGGAATCTCTTAGCCACATACAAAGTGAACAGAAAAAAGAAAGAACAGAGTGGGGAAGGTGCCGTAACCTGGGAATATTTTGATAAATTTGAGTCCACTCTTGGATCAAAAGCATCTACTGCTCCACCACCTGAAACAGTAGGAAGTGTGGATAATATGGAAAAAGAAGACATCAATCAAGAGGTTTTGGATGATGAAGCATTATCTCTTAGTTCTGAAGCATCTACCAGTAGCAATATCTGCATGAGTAAGAAGAGAAAAACAAAGGAACTATGTTTCAATGATTATTTAAAGGAAAAACTCAAGCGTGATGAAGATACAGCAAGAAAGAAGGAGGAAAGATGGTACCAGAAGAAAGAACTGAAAGAACGTGAAATAACTGCTATAGAAGCTCTTGCACAAGCAATAGCCAGTAAATACAAAAAATAAATATAAGGCATATGTTTTGTTTATTAATGAGAATTTTATTTTTTGTTCGTGAACTTGAATAGTTAGATCCATGTTGAGTTGTTTGAATAATGTAAATGGAATGAAAATTAATTATTAAGTCGAAAATATGTTTTTTTAGTGACATATATCATTCATTATTGAATTTCTTAATTCTACAGCCAATCTATCAATAATTGCACCACCTTCAAAGGTCAGCTTCATCATTGTTTTGTTCTGGTTCTGGCCCTCAATTTCTGCAGAGTCTTCCCTCAAAGAAATATTGTGCAGAATGCAAGTAGTAAATATGATATACTTTGCATATGATAGATTCAGAACATGTAAATATTTGAGCCTTCTGAACAAAAGGCCAAAGGTCTGCTCTATGACCACACGCGTGCTACTTAGTAGTTTGTTGAACATTTTCTGTCTTCGAGTTAGATGTCCATTGTCTCGAAAAGTAGTCATAATGAATGTGCGCAAAGGGTATGCTGAGTCTCCCAACAAGTATGTGTCAGGAGGTAAGATGTTTCCAGTACTGATTTTGTTATAAATTGGGGAATTTTGCCACACCCTTGCGTCATTCACAGATCCAGGCCATCCACAATAAATGTCGATAAAATCCAGCTTCGAATTGCATATTGCTTGTAGCAATATTGTCACGGATGGGACCACTCAGTATATATCAGAGTCAATACACCTTCAGATCCAGGTCATTTCAAATAATCAAACAATTAAATTTCAATTCACTTCAAATAATTCGATGGCGTCGACAAAAATCGAACGGTTTGGCAAAACATTAAAATGAGCGTTGAACTCAGGAGTTTCACGACCTGGCACCAATTTAGGTAGTTTTGAGAAGTTTTAGCAAACAAAGCAAACCGTTCGCAAATAAATACGGACCACACTGTGGCCGGCATTATCATTATTATTGGTGATTCCGAATTCGGTCGACATTCAGCCTAGAGGCATTCAAAATTCAGTCTAGATGTGATTCAGAAGTCAGTCGAAATTTAGCCGAGATTTTTTCCAAATTCATTCGAAATTCAGTCGAGATTCATTCCAAATCCAGCTTAGACAAAAGTTCAAATTCAAAATTGAGTGATTGAGTGGCGTTGGTGTCGAGATTAACGAGATGGCCCATCCAGGACACATCATCCCCCCGGCGAGAGTATTGGCAGTACTGGTAGCAATGTAAGTACCTCGATCATTTGTTTCCAATATTAGTTGGCCCCATAGTTAGGGAAAATAGGGATCAGTACTCACTTTGAACGCTGTTAATCTCGTGCTAGGCCCTTCCGGCAACTTTAAGTAATCCAGGGATGAAGTTAGGTAATGTACTAATGAAGGGGCGTGTCGCACGTTACCCTGGTAGGGATTAATGTTAGTAAATAACCTTCGAAGCACTTTGTTTTGCTCATGATTGATTTTTGTTATAATTTTTCACACTTATTGACTCACTTCACCTTAACCACATTTGTTTAATTTGCTGATTCCTTATACACGTACACTCGTTTTGATTTGATTTTGTTCCACTTTGTACACATATAACTTTTTTCTTTATTTAATTAAATTGTATTTTTTTTCTTTATTCACACTCTCGTCATTTCTTTGCTGCAACTCCTCTTTGGTCAGATCACCTCTCGCATTGCCACTACGACCCCCAAATAATCTAAACCTCACAGCTCGGCATATCCCACAAGGGAACGTAGCTAGAGGTGTAGCCCATCACGGGGAAGTCAGCAGCCCCAGAAGTTGGAGGCCGCAAGCTACTCCGTGACAATATGGAGTAATACCCCTTGCGGTTATAGTAGGAATTGTCCTTAAGAGGTCCTGGTAGTTATATGTGTACCGTCCATACATCCAATAACATTGAAATCTCTCACTGTTTTCACTGCATCAGGACCTGTTGGCCATTTGATAAAATCCTTGACTTTCATTGGTATGAGTTTGCAGGTTTTGATGAAAATGGTATGAGCGTGCCCTTTACTGAAACCAAATCGATTCCTTACAGATCTCAGACTCTCTGTAGTACTCACAAGCCAGATGGTCATCAATAAACAGTCACTCAAGACTTTATAAATAGGTAATACCTACTTGTAAGGTAATACTTACTTGTATAATAGCGCTTTTACTAAGTCTGAAATGTGATTTGAAGTCACTATCTGAGTATAAATGAACAATTTTTGCTATATAATTCTTGTTTTTCATATGTTTTTCCCTGCGTTTCCTCATATTATGCATAAAAAATAATATTTCTTCACTGTCTGTGTCTTCAGATGATGAACTATCGCTAACTATCATCTTCTGGGCTAGTAAATACTCCATCCTAACCAGAGTACCAGAGATAAGCTAACATCTAGTATCGTTTATTGCATTTTGAGATAAAAAGATGAATTATTCAAAGATAAATAGTTAGTTGACACCTGGTTGACACTATTTATTAGTCAACTTTCTTAACCTCACAAAATTGTATAGACAATTCAGCGAATTCATCAGTTCATAAAATCGATGGATCTGATGAAGATAGATTGTTTCCAGCGCTGAAAAAAAAACTATGAAGTGGATTCTATCAGAATATACTGGTGACTTTGAAAACGGTTTGCTGAAAGAGTGCTTAATGCGCATTGACGATTGATGAATTTAAAAACTTGCCCAATTGTTTTGATGTAGGTATTTCAGGTTAGAGCAGTGGTTTGACATCAAACGTCAACTGTGCGGCACGTATTCGTGCTGAACACGAGCTGCTCATTCAATTTTTATTTCTCGGTAATAGGTCCTTCGATTGGTGAAAGGATTATTTTTGGAAACTAACGGACAATTCAGAAAATGCAAATTACGTTTTATTGATCGTAGACCTAAACAAACATGAAGAAAATCCTAAATCTAGTACTTAGCTGAATGCCTATTGTCCTGACGAGTCGCCATCACTTCACTACAGTTTTTCTAAAATGTCAGTGCACCACTAAAATAGTTCTGTTGTCGATTTCTGGGAGGCCCGTAGTTTTGTGAATTTGTAGTTAACTTTTATATATGGTACCACAAAAGCTCTCAGGTAAAATCACGTTTAATCTTCGAGTATCACTCTCGATTACATACAAGATGTCACTTCGTATAAGACACCGATGCCGGCTTCTTTTCGTGAACTTCTCGAAGTTAATTTCGAACGGTGACCACGAAGTTTACCCTCTGGATGATAGCCACCGTCTGCCTTTCCCCTTCTGACCTACTTAGCAAATCCCGCGCCAAAATACGACGCTTCACCCTTCGTTTCCATTGGTCAGCTTCTTCGCCTGGAAACATCCGAAATGTTCTAGAACCACGAGCGCTCACCAGTTGCTCCCATCCACTTCGACACTTTTATCAGATTGTGCGTATCCACCAAATACTAACCTAAACCTATCTTACAATAATACTATGAAATTATGGGCTTGGTACATCACCCCCCTATTGATTTCCTGGAGTTATACTACAGAAGGAAACAATACTACAAAGTGACAAGCGGAGTTTTATATATCTTTAAATTATACAGGTTCTGAAGCCCTAAAGATTTTCCTGTTTCATTTTCTGTAACTTCAAAACAATTATGTCCCTTCTTTGCCACAATGGTGCAAGGACCACGGAATAAAAGGAAGAATTTTTTTATCTCTTTATTCTCAGCATTGGATAAAGGGTGCTGTCTAACCAATACCTGATCTCCTATCTCAAAATTGGTTTCCAAAATTCGCCCTTTCTCGTGCCTAACTTTTCTTTTCTCAGCTTTACTAAGCAGCCTTGTATGAGCAAGTTCGATGCGACCATTTCCTTCAACTTGTGGAGTCGGATCTGGACTTGGCATATTTTTCAAAAATGGGTGCAGTTTACACTCACCAAAATGCAAAACTACTGGTTCGTACCCCGTACTATCATGATGAACGTGGTTCAACCAACCTTCAACGTCTCCTATAACATTAGCCCACTTTGTATGTTGTGAATAACAGCAGGTTCTCAGCAATCGACCGATTTCACGGTTCACCCTTTCAGTCATGTTCCCCTGAGGGAAATAGACGGAAGTATGACCACAACGTATCCCCATTTCGGCTAACCCGTCTACCCAAACTCGACCAGTAAATTGCGTACCATTGTCAGATAGCACTACCTTGGGTGTCATCCCGACAAACTCAACGTATTTCTTCAAACACTTCAATGCCGATTTCGCAGTCGCGCGTCTTAAAGGAAAAAGTTTTACTAACTTTGAAAACGCATCAACAAAAACAAGTAAATAGCTAACCCCAGCACGTGCCTTCGGTAATGGCCCCATAAAATCTGTACACACAGTTTCATTTATATCAGAAGGCACCAAACTCCCCATTGGCCCTACTAAATGTTTCGATATTTTCGCCTTCTGGCAGATATCACAAGAAGACACAAACTTCCTGATTCGTTTTCGCATTCGCGGAAAATAGTAATATTTGCTTAAGCTCATATAAACTTTATCCGAACCGAAATGTCCGTTCTCGCAATGCTCCTGTTCTACTAATGAAAATACCTCGTTATCTGGTACTACGACTTTAGACCCTGGATTCTGATGTGATCCCTTCCTGAATAAAATACCTTGATATAGAGAAAACCATTCACCAATTCTTGGTGAACCCGAATCATTCGTCAAACTATTTCGAATATTCACACAATACTCATCATTTCTCTGAAATTCTTCAATATTTTTGAACTTTTTCATCAAACTTTTGAACAACTCTGATCTCACTATCCTACAAACTTCCACCTTTTCGGCTAATTCTACCAATTCATGATCGCATTCCCCCACGTAACGAGACAGACAATCCGCCAATCTATTATCGGTCCCTTTCAAATATTCAAATTTAATATCGTACTCTTGGAGATATAACGCCCATCGAATTAATCGTGAATTCAAAAGAGTGCAAGCTTTCAGAAAGGTTATGGCTTTGTGATCTGTATAGACCGTCAGCTCCCTACCTAATACGAAAACTCTCCATTTCCGCAGC